AAATGGTTCAAAAATAAAATTATCACATTAAAATAAAAAATATCTCTGAAATACAATGTTTGCAGGTAGAGTAGAAACTTTTCACAATATAGCAAATTTTTATGTTTGCAGAAAGAATGGAGTCAAAATAAAGGAAGATATATTCAAAAGAGAGCAGGAAAGATGAGAACAGGAAGGAGAAAAAAGAAACACTATTAAGACATGAAGATACTACAGAAAGCAACACAACACAAAAACTGGATCTTACAAATAAGTTAAATTTAATCCTAATTTTATTGTGACTACTATAAACTAAACTCTTTTCACCAAATCTGATGTCAACATAAGAGAAAAACAACATAAATCATGGCTTTTGATGTTACTCTGCTTCAGCAGATCAATACTTTTATTCCTTAATTATGTGATTTTTAATCATAGCATACATGGAGGCATGGATTGATCTCACCTAAATATGACAGAAGACACATGAAGGAATTTAGGAAAAAATATTTAATATGATAAATATATTACAGGAAGATTCAGAATGTAAAAGTATTCAAATTTTGGATGTTTTCTTATAACAGTTGAGTGATAAAATATTACTGACTACATGTGATGTGACAAGAAAATTAGGAACAATTCATCAGAGCAGCAGTGCAGAAATAAGACAAAAAAACAAGCAAACAAAAAAAAAAAAACACCAATTTCTGGGAAAAATAGTGAGTTTTGTTTTTTTTGCTAAATTTACTAGTTTCATGCTGGAATGAAGAAACCAGTTTAAAATGGTAAATGTTTGAATTCATCATGTTTAAAAGTAAACAAAGACGAAAAGGGTGGAGGTAAGAGTGCACAGAGTGCAATGTTCACGGCTCCCTTTATTTGTCATTAGTCCCGGGGCCGGTGTGTGTGTGTGTGTGTGTGTGTGCGTGTGTGTGTGCGAGAGAGAGAGAGAGAGAGAGATGTGGCTCCAGCTGATGGAGTCGGCTCAGTGCTGGATGCCAGTATATGAACCAGTATCTGGATGTCATTCTAATCTCCTTAGAATGATTTAAATCACACCAGAAGTCCCTATTGCAAAGTAATAGAGTTTAAAATAATAATAATAATGATGACTACAATTATTAAGAGTAAGTTTTTTGCTGTTGAATTCTATTACTGATGCTTTTTCTTTTGAATACCAACATTTTGCAAAGTTATCTCAATAAAGATTTTGTTTATTCACATTAGGTGATCTCTGTTTCATATTTTGTTTAAATATTAGAGTTTTTACTGTTTTGCAGGCAATATGGTATATTTAAAATGACTTGAATCTATTAAACCTTTAACAGCTTATCAATAAGCTCTTCTGCTTAGAATAATTATTTTCCAAAAGTCTTCCAATAATTGGTCAAAACAATGATGGGTTTAATAAGCTTTGATACATCTTTACAAGCAAAAAAATTAGTTATTTCTATAATTACATTTTTGTTAACATGCCCTTATTGTTTGCCCTAGTTTGCTGCACATAATGAGCCTTATTGTAATGATAATAATAATAAAAATATATTCCTAAGGTAATTTTGTTTTGTTTTAATTTCACTATAATAGATTCATCTTATGTTTTACTTTATAGCTATTTTTTATTGTTTGTCTTTTATTGCTCTATTAATACTGACATTACGAGATCTAAAACGTCCGGAGAAATACAAAAGTTTTTTCCTCCAGGCGGAACCTAAAGAGCCCCAACTGTTTCTGTGGGAATTCCCATGTGCTACTTCCGGCGGACGTAAACAATGATATGCTAACAGTATTAGCTTCAACGGTTCCTCCTGTGTATCATCGGTTAGAAGACGACTTTTGCTGTGTGAGGTGAATACTTAAGTACTTGCAATAACAAAATCTTTTATTCATCATCAAAAAGCGACTAGCTGCTGCTGCAGGAGAAATATTCAAAAACATCGTCCATTAGGAGGAAGAGATCGATCAGGAAACCGCTCATCATCTCAGAATCTCCGGGTTCGTTAACCCTCCTGTTCTGAATGAACTAATACTGGAGTACAGAGAATAAGATCAGGGAACTAGTTGATGTCGCGGATGAAGCAGGGCGCGACCGTGTTTTGTTCACAGCTCGGTGATTTGCTTCGTTTGTCGCCGTTTGTTTTTGTTAATCTGTCAGGCATTTAACCGGGACAAAATAAAGAGTTTGAATTGCTTGAACAAAGTTAAGACCGGTGGCTTCCAAATAATAAACATCTAAACTAAAATTCTTCCTAAGAACAGGTTTTATCTGCAGTCTGCTGGAGGATGTTTGACCATCTTGGAGTGAGGTTCATTTTTTTAAGAGGTTTTGCTGCGTCTAGACCTCATAAATGCTACAGCGAAACAAAAGGTTGAAACCCTCATATAGTCGTTCCGTTATGTTCACAACAGACTTTAACCACTGTTTCAGTTTGGACTGTTGAAATGTAGAAACCTTAAAGTGAATTGAAATATTGATATTTCAGCGCTTGTTCTTGATTTCTGTTGTTTTTGCAGCGTAAATACCAGAGAGAAAATATTAATATTTATAACAAGTTTAATCTGTGGATCATATTGCAATCACTTCCTAATGGGTGGACAATTATTTTTCCAAATGGGAGATGTGAAAAATTTGAATGACATTAGATAAGAATGCAGGGGTCAAAAGGTGAAGCTGATTCAATACTGAATAGAAAAATTAAGTGATTCTTTTTTCTTCGCTTATTGTCCCTTTTAAGCTCAGATAATATTAAACTCTCCCTTTAATTAATTTATCTATGTTTTAACAACAACACCCTGACAGAGACCAGTTAGCTTCCAAGCTAATGGAGAAGCTAACTCAGAGTACAACGTAACATTACATGTTACGTTGCTACCAGCTGTCAGGAACAAATATAAGTTTAGAAGTAAGAGAACCACGTTTTATGAACAGTTACAGCCAATATTAGTGAGTTTCCTCATTGACCGTCTCAGCTATGACATGTACATATCTCACTTATGACACATCTGTTCTCCCAGTAAGGTGATGCTGTTGATATGTATTTTGCTGCCTTTTGTTTGTCTTTGGTTTGTTTTTATTAGAAGTGGAAAAATCTTTACATAATAAATTGTGTGACTGTGATATGGAGATCTATGCAGACAACTCGGCACTATGATACCTGAAAGTATTACTACATTGTACTCGATTTTCTGGCAAAACAGAATATAAATAATTTATATTTATAACTCAACTCTTTGTGAAGATCTTCATCAACACATTTTTCTGAATTGTTCTACTGTTCTTCATTCCTTCAGATCTTCCAAAACAACATGTCTTTTGTCACTTGGAAGGTTCTTGATGGTGGTTCTCTTGTGAATGAAGAGAGAAACAAAGTTGAACACAAGATAACGAACATTATAAAAATAAAAGAGGAACCAGAGCCACAGCATATTGCTGACAGGAAAGAGGAACTGGAATCTCAACCAATTAAAGAAGAACAGGTTGAACGTTTTATCATTCAGGATGAAGGGCAGCTATTAGTGAAGCAGGAGACCAACATCACCATGGAAATATTCCACAAGGAACCAGAACTACAGCCAGTAATAGGGACAAAGGAGGAATCAGGACCTGTAGCGAATTCAGATGACGAACCAGAACTTATTCAGATTAAAGAGGAACATGAGGACCACTCTTGTCATCAGGATGAAAAGCATCTTGACATAAACCAGGAAGCTGAAATCTTTATAAGGGCTCCTGCGTGTGAGCAAAAGGACAGCCATGAACCGGAACCAAACAAGAACCAGCTCCCCTCTGTAAACCACCAAGAAGATGAGAACCAACATCAGCAAGGAAGCAACCAGGAAGACTCCGGATCAAGAAGAGACACAGATCTGCAGTCAGAGAAGAAACCTAAGGACACCAGAAATCACAGGGCGTTTGTGAACAATTCAAATCATAGCGGACATAAAACAAATTTGCCGTCATGTGAAGTATGTGGGAAGTGTTTTGCGAAGCGCAAATATGTGACTGTCCACATGAGAACTCACACAGGAGAGAAGCCGTATCCCTGTACATTTTGTGGTAAATCTTTTATTGACCATAGCACCAGAGCCAGACACACCAGAACACACACCGGTGTGAAGCCATATCCTTGTGATCTATGTGATAAATCATTCACACAGCCTAATCACTTGGCTCATCACTTAAGAACTCACACAGGTGAGAAACCTTTCTCATGTCTGACTTGTGGAAAAGATTTCAGCCAGCAGTCTAACCTAACTGTCCACATGAGAACTCATACAGGGGAGAAGCCTTACTATTGTGAGCTGTGTGATAAATCATTCATCCAGCCCAGTGGTTTGGCTCGCCACCTCAGAACCCACACAGGTGAGAAGCCTTTCTCTTGTCTAACCTGCGGGAAAGGTTTCATCCAGCAGTCTAATTTGACAGTTCACATGAGAACTCATAGAAATAAGAAGCCACCATTCACAGTCCAACAAAAGGCTAGTTCTTTTTTGCTAACTAATGAGTAAAAATTAAATTGGTTTCAATATTAAAGGAAAATGCTAATATCTGTCTATTCTCAAAGCAACAATGCTATCTACTGGACAAATAAGGAAATCATCTCATTTAAGGTCTGAGAGCTTTTTTAAATAATTCATAAAATAAACTCACTGGCTCATTTTTATTAAATTTGTATTAGGACCCTGTGTTATTTCCCCCTTTAGAACACTGTACGCAGGTTGCTTACACATAAATTATCAACTAAAATAATTACGTTCATTAAATTATAAATCCACCATAGAACACATATTTTCGTTGCTCAACACCTACAAAACTGTGAATCCATTTTTCTTTATATCTGGAAACCAACAAGCTGCTGTTTTAATGAAGGGCTTGTGTTCCCCTCATTAAGCTGCTCCCGTTCCAACTCATCAGGTGCTTAATCTGGTGAATCTGTACCTATTTATTGTTGTCTAAGTGCCTAGGTCAGCCCCAGCACATTTACTTTCACAAGTGAAACTCCACTTCCTATATATATATATATAAAAAATCCCTTCTCACCCTCCACAGGTGGTCTCTCTCTCTCTCTCTCTCTCTCTCTCTCTCTCTCTTTAAAACCACAGTTTTAAATAGTCATCTTAAAAACATTGCCAGGATAAATATTTTTACAAGAAAAATAAATCTGGTGCATGCCTTTACCTTCAGTACAGAAAATAATTGTAATGGTGTCTTTACTGACCTCTGTAAACATGAAGATAAAAA